CCGGAGGGGAGACGATCAGCATAGAGAAACCATGAACATGAGCAGATGCTAAATTGAAGCGGGGGAGCCGAGAACCCATCCTTAACCTTTCTCAGGTTACCAAACGCCTCATCCAGAGACGCTGCCAATTGAGTGATGCAAGGGTGAGGCAGAAAGGTGATAGAACCAAAATTACCTGTCTTCATATCAAAACTGGATAACAAATCTGAAGGCGAACTACTACGCTGTAGTCAGTGGCTATTGGCAATCCAAACTAACAATTGAATTGTGTCAACAGCATCAACACTAACATCCGAAGGCGACAGACCATCTGAAGGGGGAGATGGCGTAGCCGAACGATGAACTTCCTCCAAATGTTGAACTGGAGCGGACGTAGGGCCAGAAGACTGAATAGCAGAGGAAGATGCTGGAGTCTGATGCCATAACGCTTGCACAATAGCGTCAAAATCAACAGGTTGTGAAGTCGGACCCTCAGACCCCGGATTACAGGAAACCGGTAAAATAGGTCTCTCCACAGGCCCCGTTGGAGGAGGCAAAGACGAAACAGGAGCAGATAACGAGGGATGAAGAGGCGCCCCATTAAGAGAAGACAAGCAACCAGCTGACTGATACAAGTTCCCGTGATGAAACAATGAAGGCGTGGGGTCCCTCACACTCGCCGCACTAGGTGGTAAACCAAACCCCGCTGAGACAGTTTCAAAGGAAGAAACAGTAGTACTCATGGTATGTGGCACTCCCACCACTGAAGACGCATAGGAGACACAAGGGGTACTAAGCGTCGCGCTGGGAATAAGCGGGGCACCGGGAATCAATGTAGCAGGTAGCAAGCGACGCATGGAAAGCTAGAGCTGAGCTGAGTGTACCATGCACCGAACCAGACACATTGGAAGTAAGCGCTGAACTCTGAGCAAGCGCCGAACCGAATGCACTGTGAGGAAGCACTGAAGCCAGTGCTCTATGAGGAAGCGCCGAACTGGATACACTAAGCGCCGAAATGGGAGCACTGTGAGTAAGCGCCGAACCAGGGTCAAACAAGAGCGTTGAACTGGAAACAAGTGGCGCTCTAAATGAAAGCGTGGAATCAGGACCAAGCAGCGCTCAGCTACCAGGTACCTAACCCGATGTAAGCGGTGCTTCGGAGGTAAACGACGCACTAGAATAAAGTGGTGGTCCGTAACCAAATGGTACAGGATAAGGGACAGATGTGGAAAAAGTCGCACTGAGAATCATCGGCAAACTTGTCAACCCCACCAGAGGATGAGAAAGCGCCGAACTGAAACTATCCACTGTACCAGAACCAAGTGTCACATGAGACACAAGCACCAAATGGGAAGTAAATGTAGAACCAACCACCGAAGTGGAAAGCGCTGAACTACAAGCAAACATCGCTTGAGAGGTAATTTTAGGAATCACACCCAGCGCCGCATGAGAAACTCCCACCAAAGTAACATAGGGGCGCTGAGGAACAGTTACCACCGAAGACGGACGGGGCGGACAGCAGATGTAGATAAAACGACAACCCTAGGTGGTGAGGAGTCTTCTAAAGTGATAGGGCTGGATGCATGCAGACGGAAAAGTCTACGCAGATTTTCACTGAGGTATGAATCAGACGCCTTCTCTAGGAAATCTTCATTAGGAGACGGGGACTTCGAACGTCGAACTGCAGTTTTCTTATGGCGTTCTGCCTTAGGACGTTTTGATGCAGACGGACCCTTAGATGTTTTGCGACGATCCCTATCTGACATGCGTCCACAAGCTACCCGGCGATATTCAGAGAAAGCATTGTCGTCGAGGCCAGCACAAAAAGTGCAACATTGAGACCAATCACAACGACCTAAACAATCTACACATAAAGCATATGGATCTGCCACCGAGAAATTACTGTTAACAATTGTCACAATGTTTGCGCTTCTTAGAACCATTACGATTCGATTTACCAATGTTGAAACAACAATCAAACTTTCTTAGAGACAAGCACACGTCCACACGACATAGCGACAAGAAAGAGAATGACAGGCACAGGTAGTCACGTGATCATCTGAGCGAGCTGCACGCTTATGGAGATGATTGACAGGTGCTGATATCGGAGTAGGGGCAGAGGTCAGGGGGGTCAGAGGCCAGTAGGATTTTATTCAACTTAGCCTACAGCACGTTTCCACACATGGTCGTAGAAGAAGAGAGCTGCATACTGTGAGATAGGATAAGTTTAAAAATATAGATGGTATGACATGTAGTCGGAAAATTAAAATCATGATGGTTGTATACATTTATGGCATTTTCATTCCGGACAATTAGATTTACAGGAATTGTATTCGCCTGTCGTCCGAGGATGGCCCTCCTCTTCTTCATAAGCCCAGGTAGGTCAGTCTGGACACTGTAGACGGTCCCCCTGAGTTGCTTCCTGGCCTCGTAGACTGCCACTCGTAGACTGTCTTCTATCGCGAGGAAGGCAGCAATAATACTGCGGGGGGCAGGGGGGCAATGTTCTCGTTGATACTCCAATTTGGAGAGAAGGTGAACAACTTCAAAGAAGATATCGTTGACACGTTGATTTCTAAAGTTGAGTGAGTTGATGAAAAAGTTTCTCAAAGCTCGTTCTGTGTTTTCTTCTGGTCCTTCAGGGATTCCATAAAATAGGAGATTTGTTCTCCTGACATGAATGTCTTTTAGAATAACTTGCCTCTCTAAAGTTTAATAGGCCTGTTTGAATTCAATCAATTCATCCTGAAGGATTCTGATTTCATCAGTGTGAGTTGATACCACGTGGTCAGTGGAGGCAATTTTGTCTTTTACCTCCACCATGTCAGTTTTAATTGAATCAATAGACGTTTGCAATTCAATTTTAGTAATTTGGAGTAGTTCCGCTAACCTTTTCTCAGAAACTAGTACAACTTCCTCCATCGTTTTTCCTTTATGATTGTTTTTATAACTTCGTTTTTATCTGTCCTCAATGATTGTATATACATGTACATGTCTGGCTTCCTGTAAATCTAACTGTCACTCAATTAGCTGTATATCACTCTGCTGTACTGTTCACAACTCCTTATCCCCATAGTTTGTGTCAACTGGCTTTACTTTATCCCAGTTATCATTGTTTTTATAACTGCTTTTTGATCGGTTCTCTGTGATTGATTGTATATACATGTACATGTCTGGCTTCCTGTAAATCTGGTATTTCTAGTTTGTTTTCTACATCTGTCTTTAATCACCTGAAGAATGGGCACAAAGTATCCCAGAAACGTGTTATACAATAAACAAGAAGTTGCCATCCATATACTCATCTTATATAGTTTCTAATCAGTTATTAAAATCATCAGGATATAATTTGACTCTTTTACAGTTGTCATTTTGTAGATTATATTCATGATCATTCAGAAATATTGTAACGTATCAGTTATTAAATTTCACTTTGACGAACGCCAGCCGTACATGGGAAAAAACTTGGGAAGAAACTGGTCTACATTCCATAACATGACACACAAGATTTGATATTTTGATATGTTATGAAAAACTTTAAAGCATTTTCCGGTTATGTTGTTTTAATATCAGATTTTGCCATAGTCCCAACCACAGTGTCAAAGGCTTTTTGAAAATCCATGAAAGCACAACATGATTGCTTTTTTCTATATTTTAGGAGTTCCGAAAGTTGATAAATCGTAAAAACGTGATCCGTGGTACCATTGTAGAATACTTTTTTCAAATCGAGCTTGTGCTTCAGATAATAGTGTATTAGAGTTTAGGAATTTTGTAAGGCGGTTGTAAATATTTTCCGGAGACTGCTCATCAGTGTAATAGGTCTATAATGTTCTGGTTTATTTGGATCACCTATTTGGTTATAGGTAGGCATTATTACTCCATTTAACCAGCTTTCTCGGAAACTCCCTATGTCTAAAACTGTGTTGAAAAGTTTTACATATATATCTAAAAATATATCAATGGTGAAAGAAATGTACTCGTTTAGCTTTATTATTTTACAGTTTTGTAACTGACGCAATAATTTCTTCCTTTGTTAGCAATGTACTGTCATTAACATCATAATCATTAATGGAGTTAATATCTAAATCAACATTTCCTGGTCCTTCATTCAACATTCTGAAAAAAACAAAAGTAATTGTTTGTCCGGCAGCTTATTGTGTCACCTTTTTGACCTTTCATTAGTATCCAAAATGAACGAGAATCTGACTTTTCTAATTTAAGAAAGTTATCTTGAAGGCTTTTGGAGTGCAGTCTGGAATTTTTTAAAAGCCAACGTTTGTATTCTTTACTGGCATTTATTAGTGGTTTATTATTTTCAATCATGGATGCTTAACTCATTTACGGTAATCTGATGTTTTCTTTGCAACTACCATGTTGACACTTTCCTGGCAATACCCGACAGAACTGCTTTACCGGGCATACTAAAAATTGAAATGGCACTTTCCAGGCCTGACACCTTTTTGGGAGGTTACCATCACACTTAATATCAGCGTTTAAAATTCCCGCCTGCCCGACCATCCAGAACGGTCTATTTTCACCTCAGACGGTCAAATTTCAAAAGTAGCCTGTCCGGTGGTCTGGTAGATATTTTTACCCCTAAGAGAAACTATTTCATAATATCAGACAGGTTCTCGTATCATCAGTTTGAGGTGTTATGAAAAGTATGTTAAACTTCATACGATTGTACAGTTCATGTTATGATTCCAATCCAATCATAACACATGTACTTTCAGTTCAGTTTACTTAAACTTGGTGCATTGCCTGTTAGTGCTATGTAGTTCATTGCGATGCCTACAAACAGTGAATGGAGCTTGCGCAAGTTGGAAATGGCCGTCACAGTTTTTTATCGTTGAAAACCGGACAGGCAAGTTTGTATCTGGACCGGTAATTTTTTAGGCTTGGAATTTAGTGAGTTTTAAACACTGCTAATACTGCATGGGTACTGTACCTTCCAATACTGCTCTTCATATCAACTGACTAAATTGTCAAAAATTAAAATTATACAAAGAACAATATATACATACATCTGCCATTCTTTGTCTAAGCTGTCCTGGTTGTTTTTTCGCAAAGAGTCTGATAACTTCAGGTGTCTTGAATGCTTTACTTATTGCAGCTTGAATAGCCTGAAACAAAACGAATAAAATAATTTCAGATCACTTGTATAGGATTTGTGCCTCATTTTCTTCTTGCAAATTTCTAGATAGCAAACAAACCATAGAGAGAGAGAACTACACAACTGGTATTTGCTTCCAAGATTGCATCACTATCCTGGCCAAAGTAAAAGAAAAGATAACGAGGTAAAAAGAAGAAAAAGTTACAGACACCTATGGCCTTTTAACCTCAATTATATTAATCCAACTTGAGTATAGTGGCCTGAAATACAGAGCATAAAATACATCTAGTTTTCATAATGAGAGCAACATCCAATGCAGTTTGAGTATGATGTCACACAAAAGGCGCCAGCTCAGGAAATGCCTCTTGTGTCTTTAACACTCCACAAAGAAATATTGAACACAGTAGCATGGAGAATGGGGTTCCTGCCGCACCCCCTCATCCACCCCAATTCAGTTCCCAGAGCCTACTAAATAATCGCGGTCCCGGGCTGGTATGGAAGTTGAAATTTACTTTAAAAAATAACAAAATGACCTCGGCAGCCACAATCCCACAGAATGAAAGATTTAAAGTTTGTTGTTGCTACACTTTCTCTCTGTGGGATTGTGTCGACTGCACTAGTACTCCCTCAGAGAGTGCCCCTTCTCAGAAGAGAGACCATTTTTGAGAAATCCCCACCTAATATTATCTTCATATCTTACTGACGAAATTGATTTGAAGGTATACATAGAGGCGTGATTGGGATACGATCTCACAATGCAGAGTTGCTCCTCTCTACATCATAAGCCCATACCCGCAGACATCCAGACTGAGCTGCAGAGGCTCAGAGAGAACCAGTGTCTATTTAACAGGTCTATCCTGACTTTGCATAAATTAACCAATCAGGTGCCTTTAAATTGTGCTCCGACAATCTTTTATTGGTATACTTAAAGTTTATTAGACTTACATGATCGGATAAATAAAACTGCTTGAGTGAAATCTTATAAGGTTCTTCAATAACAACGATACCTTCATGGCTTGAAAAAGGTGGTTGTTCCTGGTCGTATAGAAATACAACAATGCTGTTGTTCATTTTTTTCACCCCATCATAGTTTCTAACCCATAAAAAAGTTTAACATCTTCTTTGGGGGCATCTTCAAGAAAGACTTCAATCAAAAGTGTAGAGCCTCGCATCACCTCTAAAGTATCATTATACAAAAAATAACTTTAAATTTCAATATTATTATTGTTACCTTGGGTGGGATTCGCAGGGTGGTTGGCATATTATCTGTTTTATCTGGTATTGCTGTAATACCTACGCTATTGTTATTTTCCGTAGGAATTAAAGACCCGATAACAAATCCATGGAATACCTGGAATATCACCCATTATAATAGTGTATGAAAAATCTTCAATTGGTTTTGGGACAATCTCTCGTGTGTAAACTTTAAGCTTATTATCAGTAGATGTATAGTATCAGGTAGAAAAATCGTAGCAAGTGAAATTTTGTGGATGGGATATGAATATATATTTGCCGAACACATTGCTACCAAAAAAGACAACTTTCAGAGAAAGAGATATAGGAGATACGAGGTTTGCGTGGGAAGATGTCTGCCATGCAAGCGAAAAGAAAATATGGCATAGGTGCCACTAGGTTGTACAATATATGGCACGAAAAAAATACAGATATGGAAAACAAAACTAAATAAAAACCTGCAAACATTTTGCCGAACACAAATGTAGTGCCACGGAGTCTGCAAAAATGTTGGCAGAAGCTTTCTCATATGCTGTGAACCAAAGAAGAGGAAGCATCTTGTATTCTTGGAGAGGATAAGAAGACAAATTGGAAGACATTGTAGAGACACAAAAAGAAACAAAAGTAGGTATACAAAATATTGGACATATGCTTAGTTAAGCAACTATACAAAAAATGGACATACAGACCTGTTGCTGCTATGGCAGTATGGACAGTTGTGAAAGTTACATACAAACATGTTGGCAATAGCAAAGAAGACCAAATTCCTGCAAAACAACAAACTATTGTAACCCTACAAACAAACAAAATCCTTTCGATATGGACTAGACAAAAAAGGTTTGTGTGTTGGACTACTTTTCTTGCTGGTCCCTCTATTTTTGTTTTAGAAAAACAATTTCAAGTATAGGTATAGAACTATAAAGGTGCTGGGAAACTATCGCTTGCATGCATATTGTACACAATAGAGGCAATCTTCCTCATTTCCCATTCGAGGAATTCGACAAAGCAGAGGCTCCATACTGGCAAGAGAATCCCATGGAGCAATCTTCTGTGGACGAAAAGCTATGAGAAATGGCTAGGGAAGGCCCAATAGACCACTTTGGCAAAGATACAGCAAAATAGTTTGCAAATCGTAGCAGAATGTATATCATTGGGGATGCTGGTGATATTCTATTCAGTATCCCTGGTGGGACTATTTGTATACTTTAGATACCAGTCTATCTGTGTTTTTCTGCGATGTTGTCTTTTCCGGGCCTACTTTACAGGGAAGCAAGCAGGCTTTTACCCCACCAAGTTTTTCTATTTCCTTCTCTAGAAAGTATCCATATGTTGGTATTTCTACGTCTTTAGTGGAGTTGCCATCTTCCCCAACTGGCAGCAATACAATACAATTCTTGCTTTCCCTCAGAATATTGTAGCAGCAAACTTTCTGCTAATGTATTTTGCAGGCTCGACATCTAGAAGTTTGGTTGTATCCTTTGAAACTGGTGCTATTGCAGCCTCTACCAATATAGTTTGCACTTTTTCGTCCAGTTGGTCACTGTATTCTTGCTCTTTATCTACTACTTCCAAAGAAGATAGCTTTCTAGGATCTGGAGCAACAACTACAGCTGTTGGTAAAAAAGGTAGTACCAATCCTGGTAGTCCTGACCATTTTGCTGACTACAATAATGGAAATTCAAACCGAGGACGTGCACGAGGACATGGCGAAAATCATAAACCTGTACGATACGAGAGATTACCGTCAAGACCTCTCCCTACACAGCATTGCGGATAAAAAGGCACTCGGAAAAATATAAGATAAATGTGCTGGGACTCCTATTACGGAGTACATTGGATTAAGGCCTAAAATGCATTCCATCAAGAAAGCCGACAGCGGTGAGATAAGAAGAGCTAAAGGTGTGAAGAAATATGTCATGAAAAAACAAATCAAGCACGACCAGTTCAAAGAGGCCCTATTCCATGGTCGACCTTTCAAACACGAAATGAATGCTTTGAGAAGTGACAAGCATAGGATATACGGGATAAGATTAAACAAAACATCACTGACACTCATGGATACAAAAAGATGGATTGCCGACAATGGTGTCATGACTTACACGTATGGACACAGTTGTATTAAAGGGAAAATAACATGAAATGAATAAATCATGTATAAAATTTACCACAGTCCACAGGGATATTGGAAAGAGAAAGGAGCAATACAAAAACTAGTCGCAGCAACTAAGGTATGTGAAGATGTGGCTAAGGATTGGTTGAAAAAACAAGCCCTATGGCAAATCTATTTGCCTGCCCCATGATATATACCCAGGAAGAAGTTATTTCAACAACAAATCAGGTCCATCAGGCAGACCTCTTGTTTCTTCCACACGACAGGGTCAGATGTATAAAACATATAAATGTGCTTTAACTTTCGTTGATGTGGCTAGTCAAGACAAAGAAGCCGAGCCATTAACCATAAACGATTCGACTCAAGTTGCCAATGTGCCGGAGCGCATTTACAAACATAGCCCTATTCATGGCTCTGTGTCGCAGAATATCACCCATTATAATAGTGTATGAAAAATCTTCAATTGGTTTTGGGACAATCTCTCGTGTGTAAACTTTAAGCTTATTATCAGTAGATGTATAGTATCAGGTAGAAAAATCGTGGCAAGTGAAATTTTGTGGATGGGATATGAATATATATTTGCTGAACACATTGCTACCAAAAAAGACAACTTTCAGAGAAAGAGATATAGGAGATACAAGGTTTGCGTGGGAAGATGTCTGCCATGCAAGCGAAAAGAAAATATGGCATAGGTGCCACTAGGTTGTACAATATATGGCACGAAAAAAATACAGATATGGAAAACAAAACTAAATAAAAACCTGCAAACATTTTGCCGAACACAAATGTAGTGCCACGGAGTCTGCAAAAATGTTGGCAGAAGCTTTCTCATATGCCGCGAACCAAAGAAGAGGAAGCATCTTGTATTCTTGGAGAGGAGGAAGAAGACAAATTGGAAGACATTGTAGAGACACAAAAAGAAACAAAAGTAGGTATACAAAATATTGGACATATGCTTAGTTAAGCAACTATACAAAAAATGGACATACAGACCTGTTGCTGCTATGGCAGTATGGACAGTTGTGAAAGTTACATACAAACATGTTGGCAATAGCAAAGAAGACCAAATTCCTGCAAAACAACAAACTATTGTAACCCTACAAACAAACAAAATCCTTTCGATATGGACTAGACAAAAAAGGTTTGTGTGTTGGACTACTTTTCTTGCTGGTCCCTCTATTTTTGTTTTTCGAAAAACAATTTCGAAGTATAGGTATAGAACTATAAAGGTGCTGGGAAACTATCGCTTGCATGCATATTGTACACAATAGAGGCAATCTTCCTCATTTCCCATTCGAGGAATTCGACAAAGCAGAGGCTCCATACTGGCAAGAAAATCCCATGGAGCAATCTTCTGTGGACGAAAAGCTATGAGAAATGGCTAGGGAAGGCCCAATAGACCACTTTGGCAAAGATACAGCAAAATAGTTTGCAAATCGTAGCAGAATGTATATCATTGGGGATGCTGGTGATATTCTATTCAGTATCCCTGGTGGGACTATTTGTATACTTTAGATACCAGTCTATCTGTGTTTTTCTGCGATGTTGTCTTTTCCGGGCCTACTTTACAGGGAAGCAAGCAGGCTTTTACCCCACCAAGTTTTTCTATTTCCTTCTCTAGAAAGTATCCATATGTCGGTATTTCTACGTCTTTAGTGGAGTTGCCA